TGCACGTTATAACGCAAATCTGGTGGTGGAGGGAGGCACGGGTTGGCGAAGACCAACAGGGACAGAGAAATAATTAATAATAACGCAGAACGAACTGAGGAGAGTCTGAAGTAGAGCACTGGCCTTAGGAATGAAAAGAACCAGAAAAATAGCAGAGAGATTCAGGGATAGAACAGGACTTGAGAACCGATGGGCTGTGAGTGGCAATTCTTAGATGCTAGAACCTCCCACATAGACAAGTACTAGCTGGGTGAAAGCAAGCACTCTGGTGAGTAGTTTTGAAAATATTGGGTTTGAGCTGCTCATGGAACACACAGGAGAGATGTCTAATAGGTAAGAGGACACAGGTCTGCAGGTGATGGGGAATGTTTGCGCTGGAGTTAAAAATTTAGGCACCATCAATATACTGCTCAGGCCCAAAACCTAGGGGTTCTGGTTGTTTCTTCTCTCACTCCACTCCCCACATACACTCCGTCACATGGCCTGTGAGACAGAGCTAAGGATCTAGCATCAAAGACTTCCAAGAGGTGGAGAGAGGATTTGACATAGGAGACGTCAGCAGATGGCCGGAAGGTAAAATAATCTTCCCTCTGGCCAGAGCTTGGTCCCAGCATAACTTCTTCCAGGACAAGGACCTCAAAACTCTAAACACCTTAAGTGCTGCAAATGGAGAGTGTAATAGAAGTAATGTTCTTCTAGAAAATGAAATGCAGCTCTACACACACACACGCACACACACACCAGCAACACTTTCTGGGGCTGAAGGTTTTTTCCTACTTTAAAAAATAAGGTGGCAGGAGGAGGCAGTAAATTAAAAAACACTTCTATTTCCCAAATTCATCTGAGAATTAAAACACATTTTAATCAAATTTCACAACTCTAGCAGGCATTTTTTAAAAGGGGGACATTACAGATAAATTAAGAACCTCTGCCCCTTAGATTGTGACAGCACTCTATTTCCTTTTCCTCCCCAACTTATTTTCCTCCCCAACTTATTTTTTCCCCTCCCATTTTTTAGTAATAGTACTCAAGTTGAAAAACAAGAATGTCCTGATTAACAAAACCTCTGGGAATAAAGCAATTCTGTAACAAAATAGCCTGTGTTTTAAAATGAGCGAACCCACCTTTGTAGATCGGGTGGATCAGTGTTAATATGGATGAGGCAGCCTGTACATTTCTGAGACCTTGTACCCTTTATGGTTCAGTTGCCAAGGGCTAAAACAAACAAGTGTGAATAAGCAAACCTCTTCACATACTTTCCGTTTGTTGGCAATAAGTTGAAGGTAAATAGTGCTGAGCCTCCAAAAAAAGTCTGCAGTCAGTGAGGTCTAGGTAGCCCCAGCCCCTCTTCATTACCTGTTCTCTCCTCCTAATCCAAACACCATGTGTGCCCTCCTGACCTCTTGCTCCTCTTCTCTAGCAGTGGGAGGCCTACACCCTCCACCTGGGCTCCCCGAGGAGCTTCTAGCACCTTGGTGTAAATGCATCTGAGTGAAAGTGCTACCTCAGCCAGTAATTTGCATTACAAGTCACTACTTCCTTTCTTACTTATTGACTGGGGGGCCATGGATGCCAGAGATAAAGTAAACAGGTGGGAATGTCCCTTAGGACCCAATTTACCTACTCTGAGCCCACCCTGTGTGGGGTGTCCTCCACTGCTCCCACAGTGGCCAGCGCGCCCCTCGCCAGCACCAGAACTGCCGTGTCTGCCTACAGGACTAAGCTCCTTGAGGCTGTTTCTGCCTTGTGTTTGAATTCCCAGACACAAAATAAGCACTCAATAAATGTACACCGAAAGAATAAGTGAATGAATTAACTGCAGTGGAGATGCAGGAGTCATGCTGCCCTTTTAAGGGACTGAAAAGATTTAAAGGAAGATTACCCTTTATCTCCCCAACATCATTAAATGGCCTTTGTTCCCTGGGAGGTGCTAGAAGCTTTGACCTAAAAGGTAATAGAAGCAGAAAAACAAACACTGTCATTGTAAGGACAGAAAACAAGTTTTTCTTTTTTTATGATTTTCCCCACAATTTATGAGAAGTGCCTGATAATTAAACTCGGAGAATGTTGGTGTCTGCAACTTCCAACCTCCTTTCTACACATCCGAAAGGGGCAGGAAGGAATATTAGAATTCACAGAAAACAGTGGGAGAGTAAGAAATCTAATCCTAGTGGGGCACTAGCCATAGTCAGAAAAATGTTCATGGTCCTTTACAATGTTGGCCGTGATTGCTCTGTTCTGATCGAGGGAAAGCCCACTCTGACCTGGCTGGGAGGGGCGCACCCTGGGAGTTTACCTGGAGCGCTGTCCATTCTCCTGAACTGAGGACGAGGGGGACGACCTGCCATCATGGCAAGATGAACAACCTGAGTATCAGACCACTGGACCCGAGACTGTGACTCACTGGCGACCAGTCCCTGCAGCCCCGGCCCCAAGCATACTTCACAGGCTAAGGAAGAGATGATAAGAACCCCCTCATGCATCTGCCCTTTCCTCCCAAAAGCCCAATAAAACAGCCACTCACTTTTTCTGCTCTGCCCAGTGCCACCTGGTACCTGACCCTTTCCCTGTCTATGGGGAAAAACACATATATTTCCTCCCTTTTCTCTCTTCTTTCTGTTGTGAATTCTTTCACAAGCCCACATCACCAGCCTCAACACAACCCTAACAGTCATCATACGCTTCTCCTAGCTCTAAAAATGTTAGTTCCTGGCCCTAACTTTGGGTCTCCTGACCTAAGACTCCCAGGTGTACATTTTATGTTGCCTGGTGGGTCTGCTGTTCATCTACCTCATTATTCAAACAAACATTGATTGAGATCTACTGAGCTCCAGGCACAGTGTTGGGCACCAAGGGCGAGTGCCTAGCCCTCTGCTCACCAGCCTTGCAATCTAGTTGAGCTACTCTTTAGTGAGCTGCCTCAGCCAGACGCTCCTTCACCATCTACCCCTTCATTTAGCCATCCAATCGATTCCCTGAGTTCCTTAGTTTTTATACATTTCTGAGAGTGATGCAGGTGTTTGAAACATATTTGTTAAATGAAGACTTACTATAGTTTAGAATCATAGAAATATTAAAGCTAAAGAGGACTGTGCTGAATAGTCTGTTTGCCTCTCCAAATGGGCTCTCCATCCCTCTTCCCCTGACCCTGTGCCCTGGGAGGCTGACCTGCAGGGAATACATCAATTGGTTCCTTGCCCTGGCTTCCAGTCAGTTGGGTTCAGCCAATGGGAGGCATCAACACAAGACTGGAGCATAGGTAGTAGCTGTGTCCCTCCTTGGCCACACACAGCTCTTTCCAAGTTCCATTGTCTGCTGTGTCCCTTGCCCATTACCATCTGCCTGGGGCTGTTACCATCCTCCTAACAGCTTCTTGCTCTCACAGCACCATCCCTGCCCACAACCGTCCACACCTGTGCAGGACCAGCCTTCATCTGGTTCCTGAAGGGACTCTGACACAAAAGCCATCTCTCTCAAACTCCAGATGTGGAATCATAAATTCCCGAAGAAGGAAGTCTTTTGATCTGTGGCTTCCATGGCTATCTGGAGCCATACTGTGATTTTATTCCTGTCGGCCTATAAGGACTGATGTTTTAAAATATATACTCTGGGTTGGGCAAAATTATGCCAAGATGAAGGTCACGACTGAGATGCCAACTAAAATAAGTGCACCAGGAACCAAGTGACAAGTGCTTGACATTTCAAATCCCAAGAAGTTCACAGCCAGTAGAATCAAGTTCACACTTAGCTGTGATGCAGACAGCTACCTACCCCAGCTCTTTCCCCAACTCATGGCCCTAATTAGGGCAAAGTGCTGTTTCTAAGGACCTCTCACCCCTTTTGTTCACAAACCTTCCTCTGCTTGGAAAATCTCCCCCCACACTGAGTTTTAGATGTCTAATCCCTTCCCACTTTATAAGGTCTAAATTCGAGTGGCTTCCATAAATAGTCAAGCTTTCCATGACTATCCCAATCAGACAGTAGCTGTCATCCTCTAGATAGTAGGAGCATCTTGTCTGCACTCATTTCTTCACTTACATTTACCTGTGCTAGAATTGTCTATGCACAGGTGCCCTCCTCGCTCCGAAGCCTTGAAGGGCCCGGAGGGCAGGGCAATGCCTCCCATATCTTTGTTGCCCCCACAAGACCTATGCAATGCTTCAAAAATGGACATTTCTAACTAAATGCTTGTTGACGAACTAAATAAATTAATGAGTAAATTATTTTCACTTGGGATGGTGACTTCATTTCTTCTGAGTTTCAAAAACACCAAACCATATTTCACATTCTCATCCAGAAATAGCAAATTCATAAAAGCAAATGGCACTATATTTGAGGAGAAATATTTTCAGATTGTTTCCATATGTGTTTCTATATATAACGGTTTATGCAATATTGTAAACCAAATCCGACACCATGGGACCATGTATCTTCTCGAGGCTCATAGTCATGATTTAGGTCAGAGCGTAAAAAGTAACAAAAGAGACCTTAAAAGAGATTTGTTCATTTACCCTTCAGTTCTGCTCATTCTCTAGAAGTTTCCTTTCCAGCCTTGGCTCTGACGTGACTTTCTGCCTGTGACCTTCTCTTGCCTCCCCAGGCAGAACTGTGCTCTCCCCTGAGTTTTTACTGCCCTTTGTACAGACCTTTCTTGTGGCTTTTATCCCACTGCTCCTGGCTATGCAAGCGTCTGTCTCCCAGGGAGGCTGAGAGCTCCTCGAACACAGGGACCCAGCCTCAATCACCTACCTGGCTTCCCTACACCTAGCACTGTACCTGGCGCAGAGTGAGCGCTCAATAAATGTGCTCTGAATTGAACTGGCTAATGCCAATTGTACCCTTCGGCTCCAAAATCCCAACCCATGCTTTCTTTGGTTTAAAATCCTGTAACATTTATGAATTCACAAGATGGAGAAACACACACACACACACACACACACACACACACACACACACACCTGCCCTTTGGGAGTGGTGTCCAGATTTCTTACCTATGAAACTGGATCCCAGTTGAGGTATCATGGATCACTTCCACAGTAACTATGTTGGCTTGCGGCCACAGGATAGCACCTCAACCCCAGTTCAAGAACATCTTCTCCTATAGCTAAAATAGTGAACTGAGACAAGACCACGTTGCAAGTCAGGGAATGGAGAGAGGAAAGAAAACTAGAACGGACTGAGCGTTTCCTCTGTGTTCAGCCCCTTACATACTTTATCACTTTAAATCCTCGCAAAATCTCAGGGTCAGCTCAGTTCTGTTAGTCCCATGTTGCATCAGGGCATCATCAGGGTCACTTGAATCATTCTTCTGTTGGTGGCTCTGTTGGAGGGAGTTTCAGGAGAGGGACAAGGGTCAGGATCATCTCTAACATCACTTCAAGCCACTGGTCCACTAATTCACTGCCTTGAGACACACTGACCTTTCCATTATCTGAAGTCCCCTCCCCCAGATCTTTACCACACTGGGGTGTTTGCTCACACTACTTCCTCTGCTGTGCTGATCTTCCCCACTCTCCTCACCTGGCTTTTGCTACCGACCCTCTGGGCTCGTGATCTGCAAAGTGTGGGCTCCAAACAAGCAGTCTTGGCTTCACCCAGCAACTGATTAGAAACACAAATTCTTGGGACCTACCTCAGACCTACTGAATCAAAAACTCTGGGGGTGTGACCCAGAAACCTGTTTTTTTAAACACACTCTCCAGATGATCCTGAGGCACATTAAAATTTGAGAAGCACTGTTCTAGGCTTTGTCTTAACCGCCACCTTCTCAGAGAGACCTTCCTTGACCCCAGCTCATTCTTTCTCATAATAGCTATTCATTATCGCAATCTGCAAATTATGTAACAGTTGCTGTGTTTGTTTAAAATCTGTCTTCTTCACCAGATTCTGAATTCTATAAAGGCAGGGACCGTGTATACCCACAGCCTTGTACTGTGCTTGCCACACAGTAGGTACTCAACCAATGCTTTTCTATTGGTCAGTTTTTCCTAACCATACCCTGCTCATGAGCCACCCTGGTTGGGAGACCACAGAGCACTTCATGAGCTATGTGTACTTTTGCCTCCAGGCGTGAAAGAGAGAGCATAAAAGACAGCGAAGCCATCCAGAGTGAAGACCATCCATGACTCCGTGTCACAGCCTCCTTTTCCGTTGCTGCGAAACCCCCCATATAAATGGGGGGAGAGGTGAGGCCATCAGAGGCGGTAAAAGCAGCTAAAACAATTAGTTGTCTATCAGTAGCTTGGGTAAATAACTTAGTGAAGGAGGAGACCCAGATTCTTCGCTGTAAGAGATTTTCGGCCTCTCAGTGGACTGTGACCACTCGGAAGCCAGCATGGATGCCTACTTGTCTCTGTTAACCCGGGACTTACTCTTCTCTTTCAGGTCTCAGATGTCTACTATGGAATCAAGGTTCACTTTCCACCTAGGCTTGGTCAGATGGGTACGATGTTTAGATTTCAATTTCCTCAGAAAAAATAAAATTTTAATATACTTACTTTTCTCCTGCTGGCTGATGGAACAGCCCTGTGAGACCCTCTCAACAACAGTGTCACACAATGCTTTCCCTAGCCGAGTCTTCACACCACACGGGAACACCCACGCGACACCCAGAGGACGGGGCAGCCGGAGGCGCCACAGGGGCTGAGGGTCATGTGTGCTGTGCACCATAAACCATACCTCACTGTTCCCTCCTCAACCCCAGGACAAGATCAGGCTCACATGAACCTCCAAGGCAGGCTTACGGCAAACACAGTCCTGGCACGGGCAGCCCCACCCCTAAACCAGCTCCAGCTCGGAGCACAGCGGGGATCAGCGGCCACAGTCCATGCTCCTCAGCTCTTCTCCTCCAACACCTGCTCACAAAGCCAGTGCCCCTCCCCACACTGTATCCCTGAGGTCCAGGGCTCACCTGCCCCTCCACACCACATCATGATCAGCAGTCACATCTGTTTGGTCAGCATTCATATTCCTAACCTTTGAAGCTTGTCGCAAAGAAAACTCAGAGAGGTGGAACCACCTGGCTGGGCTAAGCCTTAAAAGCAGACCTTCTGTGGGGCTCTCCAAGCCCCAGTCCTAGTGGGGAAGGTGCGGAAGCCCCACTATGTGCTGGGTGCTGCAGAGTGCTTTGTGTCCTGGATCAATCACCCCCATACTAACTATGTGACAGGCCCAGTACCTCTCTTTCACAGATATGGAAACTGAGCCTTAGAAAGGTTAAGAACCTTCCCTAAATCACAGAGCTGGTAACAAATTTCTTGCATGCGTTACAAACCTCAAGAGGTTGATGCTAAATGACACCAGCATCCAGTATGGGACCTAGATCTCATGCAGTCACATCCTAAGGCCATGGGATCCGTTCAGTGTTTCCTCACCACCTGCTTTTACTTCCTGCAGCCTTGTGTTGCTTCTGTACTTTTTGGCTGATGGAAATGGCCCATGTCTCATTCATACCTCCTCACCCTTGGCCCCCACCTCTACCCCAGTACCCAGTAGAAAACACTTGATAGACTTTCCCACAGGAAGCATTTAGACAGGCTGATTAAACAGACAGGCTCTCAGAATGGGGTCTATGGTCAACTGTTGCAGGTAGAATTCTAAGGCCTGGCCCCAAGCTGTGGCGCATGAAGACAGCCCCTTTATCTCCATGCGACTCCTACACTCGGGGGGCAGCGAGGAAGGTGTTCGCTCTGGCTTCCCACACTGTCTTCTGTACTATGGTTACCGGAATGGACTGAGAAAAGTGACCCAGAAGTAGAAGGCAACACCAAGTCAACATATGAACCACTATATAGTCAATAAGACACAGATCTGATTTTATCGGTGCTTCAGGAAACCTATGTTTCAAAAACAAAACAAAACAAACAAGACATCCAAAGTAAATGTAGAGAAAACTCACTGACACCCTTTTCTAAATATCCTGGAAGATTTCAGGTAACAGGAGCTGGCACAGGGCCACCTCCCAGGGCGTGGCTGTGCTTGTGTTTCTTGGTTTTTAAATCCTCAGACTGCTGGTTTACTGACTGTGAAGGCCTTAGGCCTCTCTTATCAGGCCTCTGCATCAGAATCCTGAGCAACAAACATCTTCTGAACTGAGTACAAGGAAGTTGTGATTTCTCTGGGGTCAGAGGCTGAAAAACGACGTTGAAAAGCGGGCTACAAGAGGTCCTACTGAAATAGTGGTGGGTCTGGGGGGACCCAGGCAGAGCTTTCGTTTCAGGGTGAGGACACGCATTAGAGACTCCGTCTGGATTTGAGGCCATCGGAGGTAAGCTGACTGGTCATACGGTTGAATGCAGCCCTCGTCACACAGCAGCAAGAGGTTGGGGTGAAGCCCACCGCCCTGTCCATGTGCTGGACACATGCACCGTGCTCTCCTCCATGCGAGGCACACCCCCAAAGGCTGACATAGCTACCTCTGCTCCAACATCCCCTATTGCTCCTGCCATTCCTTCCAGACCCATCTCTGCTCCTAATCCCTGAGGGCAGGAGCGAGGCCCACCAGGGCCTGAACAGTAGAGTGGTCCCTGCACAGGCAGTTCTGGGCCAAGGACCTGGAACCACGCTCCTGGTGCCAGAGCCCAGCTTCATGCCCAGACAGCAACCAGGGCTCTGTGCCAAGGCTGCCGTGCAGCCTCATTGCTCCCTGGCCTCCCTCCAGCACCCATGCCAGGAAGGAACAGCCTGTCACCAGGGGGGAGTGGACAAGTGCAGGCCTCGGGCTCTGACTCCGCCAGCAGACATGCCCTGTGGGAACGTGCTCCCTTTGCCCTTTTTGATGACAGTTCAGAGGTTCAAAAGAGGAACAGGCAGGTGGGAAGATGGAAATAGACACTAATCCTGTAGGGACGCTGGCTTCAAATTTAAAATACTGTTTTCCAGGCTCAGGCACAAATTCACTTGTCATCACTCAGCTCTTAACAGAGGAAAAAATACAATGGAAAATTAGATCCTGTGTCACAATGTCATGGGTATAAATAAAATGAAAGGCAACCTTGACGTCAGTAATGAGGATTCTCACATTCCACTTCACTTCCTCATCATCAAACATGCAGCTCAATTTACCCCCTTGGGTGGTGGGAATGGGTTTGTGTACACAGGTGGGGCTCTGACACTGTGGGGACCATGTTTCTTTCTCCCTCAAGTCTCTGCAGGAGCCCTGGGGAAACCGTCCCCCAAAGTGGGCCTCACTCCCTGTGCTGGGTGTTTCCTGGGCATGCAAGTGGCACACTTAGCAGACGTCATTATTCCTTCCCCTCATGCCCTCGGCCTCCCCAGCCTATATTCTCTCAAATGTCCTTTCTCAGGGGAGCCAGCTTGTTCCTTCACCAGATTTTCTGGGAATAAGTTGAGGGGGCGTTTCTCTTTCTGGAGAAGAGAAATGAGAAAGTAGGAGGGGAGAGCTGAGTGCCCCGTTGCAGGGGACAGAGCTAGCATAGATGGTTGTCTCCGCTGCCCCTTTAACTTAGATGTGCCACTGAAAAGTGGTGTGCAAATCAGCTTTGCGATGTTGATTCCTATTTTAGACATGTTCTGGAATAGGATCAGCTACAAGAACCCAATGGTAAATAATTCTCTTTGTAAATCTAGCTATTCCTCTCTCAGATTTTTCTTCAAGTGTTACGCATCCCTGTACCGCAAAGCCAAAAACAGACATGCTCTGGTGTATAATTTAACACACCTTTGTCATCAAATGGTGTCAGACCTCAAAGCACACTGAGGAATGTTGACAAGCAGTGCCACACTTATGAATAAACCAATAACTGTTGGTCCAGGTCCAGGGACTGGTGTCTGCCATCATCTGGTTTTCTTGACTCTTGGGAGTACTATTGCACCGAGGATAACCGTGGAGATTCTTCTTGATTCACAGGCTGCGAGTCAAACACTTCGATGTTACACTTTGTTCTGAAATCACTACATTCAACAAGCATTTGTGGAACTCTCCTCTGTGCTGGGGACAGTCCCGGTCATGAGTGTGACCCAACACCAGCCATCTCCAGTCTGATCTGTGAAGGATGTGATTAGTAGCAGCAGGGAGGAGAGAAAAGAGAGCGACCTTTGGTGTCCAATTGATAATTGATAAGTTTGAAACACAGACCCACCACTTCCTGGCTGCCTGGCTGCCTACCTAGAGGTGTTCCAGTGCTGCATGAAGCAGCCAAGGGCGGAGCTGCACGGCGCAGGCTCCCCTCCTCCACGCTCAGCTCTGCAGCTGCGGCCTGGAAGGAAAACATGGAATGGGAAAGAAAATTCCTGCTACACATGCACACAGGGCAGCGTTCATTCTCTCACCCACCCTACACGCGCGCACACGCACACACTTTAACTTGGCTTTAGATAGGTGTGATTATTCCAGGTCACAAATTACAGTGTTATTTTTAGAACTAGATTTCTAACTCTGCTCCACTCAGGAAGCAGCAGATTGGATTGATAATGGACTGAAATAGCAGGAGGTCATTTTCTTTGCCCTGTGTGCGCAGTGGGGCAGGGTTTGGTAGCATCTCCACCTCGGGCCCTTCTCATTTTGTGGCCCATTACGGCTGCAGAGGACAGCTCTGTGGCCTCGATTCTGGACGACCTATTTTATAAGATGTGTTTCTGAGACCACAGAAGGTTTTTTCCTTTAACATAAGAATCTCATGAAGGAATACCGTCCAGAGATTGAGCCAGAACTGGCCCAGGGCAGAATTGAGAAGTGTGAGGAGTTGGTTTCCTCCCATCATCTGTCCTGCTTCCTCTCCCCAAGCTAAGCCTCCGGCATCCGAATGCCACAGGTGGCTCCTAGAACTTTTGATGATTACCCCTGTCTGTTTTGACACTATCCAAGCTCTCATCTTCCTTGCATCTCAAAACTTACTCTTCCCATGACCCTTTCCACCCAGATCTTCTAGCGGTTAGGTGGATATGGGTCAAGCACAAAGTGAAACGGAAATGCTATGCCAGCAGGGTAAAGGTTTGGGGTTTTGTTTTATTCTTTGCTGTTGTGATAAAGCAGCTCAGCTGTTTGTCTCAGACCCATTTTAGGCTCCTCTCCTGCTACGGGAGGGAAAAGTAGGAGGCAGGAGCCTTGAACACGCCTTAGCAGTGGTTCTCAACCTTCCTAATCCTGCAATCGTTTAATACAGTTCCTCATGTTGTGGTGACCTCCAACCATAAAATTATTTTTGTTGCTACTTTATAACTGTAATTTTGCTACTGTTATGTTTTAGGCAACCCCTGTGAAAGGGCTGTTCAACCCGCAAAGGGGTCACAACCCACTGGTTGAGAACTGCTACCTTAGAGGTTGGCTTTTCCCCTAACGCACTGAGCACATGGTTCTTCTCCTGTGGAGCCGGGTTATGCTGGAGCCAGCTTGCACTGGCTCACAAGAGCTGAGTGTCAAAAATCTCGGGAATTTTGCCAGATGGTTGTTAAACACTGCCATTATTAAAAGTTAAATTATATAGACCTAAAATAAAATAAATTATTTTGAAAATAAAGGTAATCAATACTTAAATCACATCACTTCCTAATCATTTCGTTACTTACTCTTACGTATGCACTTGGAGTTATTTACGTCCATTGGCTCTCTATGGGGAGAATACTACACACGGTGTGTTACTGCACCTCTCTTCCCAACAACGTGTTCAATGACGTCACACTGGTAGCTTTAGCTCAGCCATGGTGGGCGGGAGTATTTACACAAGAGAATTTGGTAACCCCTACGAGTCAGGGCTTTATTTATTGCTCCTCACCCACAAACCAGCTGTTACGCATTCATCGGCATTCCACTGTTCTGCTCTGCATTGGGCTCACCCAGGACCAGGCCTGCAGTCAACTAAGAGCGCTAATATCCAACTTCACGGATATGGGAAGAGGTCTACTGAACCTCTCAAAAGCTCTGTCTCTTCCTTCCCAAAGCCACTTTGCCTAGATAACTTCTGACACTCTCAAGTCACGCTGCCATGTCCCTCCCCCTCAGAGTTACCTGTGCCTTACACACACACACACACACACACACACACACACACACAGTCAACACACTCTGCTTGGGGTGAATTGTTAACTCCAGTACAATTCTGGGGAGTCTGAGTCTGCTAGCCTGGGGATGAGGGTGGGGTTCTGAGTATGAGGGATGAAGCAGCAGCCAATGGAACGAATGTCTTGGATGTAAGGTTACTGTACATATCATCTCTTACCATTTGGTCCCACAAGTTGACTTCAAAGTTGGGAGATGTTTGGTTTTCCCTCCATTCTAGACTTTTTTTTTTTTTTTTGGTAGATACAAACTGGAAGAGTTGGGTGTAGGGCTAAGGAAGTAGAAGTTAACCTATGGCATAGACCTCTGGTTTTCAAGACACTTACCTTTTTTTTTTTCAAAGTGAATAAGTCAAAAGGCATCATACTTAAAAGAACACAAGTGTTTTGCACTGTACAAGCCCTATCACATTTACTATTACATACAACTTTTAGAATAACACCATGAGATAGTTGTAACACACACATTACTAGTCCCATTATGAAAACAAGGGGCCCAAGATACAGACACTACCTAACTTACCATTGCCCACCAACCAGTTTGTAGAAGAGTTGGAATTAGGTCCCACAGCGTCAGCTGGTTTTGAAAGCATCATTCTTACAAAGGTAGGAAGCACTACATGCCGATTATTTTAACTGGAAGTCAACCGAGTCAACCCATGTGCTATCCTCTCCCTCTTCCTCCTGCAAGGACTCTCATGTTAGCTTTCCACCTGATTTCATGGCATTGAGCTATTTAGAGAGCCATCCTGGCCATGCAGACAACTTATTTACTAGAAAGGAGATTAGAGGTTGACCTTCAGTGTCCTTAACAGATGACACCAGAGTACAAAGAAGAAGACACAAGGCCATGGGACCGCAAGGCCACATGGTCAGTGGGGAGAGCCAGAAGTGCGAAAGAAGCTGTGCTGGTAAAACTGTGGATGGAGTTCTGAAAATGTGAGTCCACCTACCATAATCATCTACACAATGTGCTATGAGACTATGGTTTATTAATTCCTCACTAAAAAACTGGATGACATTAAGCCTTATTAATCTGCCGGCCAACGGGGGGTAAAGGAGAGAGGACAGCTTTTGCGAAACAGCTGCTTTCCCAGTCCTTGGGCCTGACCCAAGGCAGTGGGGGAAAGAAACTCCTTATTATATCCTTGTGAGAGTTTTTGTTTTACAAACTGTGAATGGAAAATTTTGTACCAAATGGTTAATAGTGGTTGAGGGGAAATGACTTTGTTTTCCAAAGTCCCACTATCAACAAACAGATTTCAGTTGATAGCCAAATATATTTATACTTTTAGAAGCACAGTAACACCTTAAATTTATCAAGCATGTCAGCCTTTGCAAAATGTTCTGGTCCATTATTTAAACTGAGCCATGTGAACAGCCTATGTAGGAATCCTAGCCCTGAAGAAACAAAAGCAAAATCTCTCAAAAGCCCAAAGAAACGTGGAGACACATTCAACTAAGGGGCGGGGGGACACTGTGCAGGCTGAATCTCCAGTGCCCTCTCCTAAGTTGCTGCATTCCTTTGGGGTCCTCATGATTTTATTCCTGACCCACATGCCTACCAGAATTGAAAGTATTCTGTTTGTCTTTCTCTTGGTGTTTATTTATACACCTGCCTCGTGGGTAGATGGCTAGTTTGAAAGGTAAGACAGAAATCATTTTAAAGTAAGTTTCCCATGAGTCATGTTAATGCTCCCTTTTAACCTGTCTTCTTTATTTGAAGTCAAGTATATTTAGTCCTTAGGTCTGGTTAAAGCAAACATGGGAATCAATTTTGGGGAGTAAGTCAATTACTACTAAGAACTATTGTGAATGGTTAATAATTCTTTGGGGACCACCTATACACGTGTACCCTGAGAAAGGCAATTTATAAATTAGACCCCCGGAATTTAAAAGAGTGACTCACTTTCTCTCTACTCATTGGTAAAATCAGGGCACTGAATTATTGAATGGCAATGGGATAACCTCCCATTAGCTTCGATATTTCTGTTCCTATATTATTCTCCCCAACTAAACATGACTTCAATATTAAAATCATGAATATTCTCACAGGTGATAACAGTGTTAATGAAATTGATCTTGGTGATCATTCTACAACATGTATGTATATCAAATCATTACATGGTATGTTTTAAATATATATAATTATATTTTTCAATTATTCCTCAATACATTTGAGAGAGAAAGAAAATGAATATTCTTATTAAACACAAAGATACATCAAGATGATTTGGTGGGGAAAGGGGGCTGGCTTGGAAAACATTAGATTTAACACATCATTGGAGGAAAAAGAGAAAAAGAAAGGGGGGAGGGGAAGAGAAAGAGAATGGGGATGAGGGAAGTAGGGAGAGAGAAAAAAGAGACAAGACAGTATTCACTGCGTACAAAACAAAAGATATTAGCACTGATAAGAGTGTTCAGTTGTTCCCAGGGCTGGAAAGCAGAAAAAAAGGACCAGAACTGACCCAAGTATCTATAGATATGTTCATTTAAATTGTGGGAGGGGGGAGAATAGAATATCAATAAACGTTATTGGGATAATTTGCTAACATTTTTCAAAAATAATTCAAATAGATTAAAAACTTCAATGGTTTTATTTTAGATGTAATTATTTTAATTTTAACATAATAAAAATGCAGAAAGTTACAAATAAATAGTTGTATCAAGTTCTTTCATTTCTTGCTGTAATTTGTGACATCCCACTAGTGACCTCCAGGTTGTTCCTGCATTGTTTCAAAGGAATTCAGCATGTCTCCTCAAGGCGTAAGAAAACCACAAGCCAAACCCTACCTCTTCCTTAAGCCTCCTTTGATTACTCCACTCTGGAATGGCCCCACTCCCATCACCCCTA